CCAACCTCCATCCCTGGTTGTATTTTCTTGTGTTGTCCCGAGCTATCCGCCTCTACTACTGACGATATTTTTATTTAGCAAAGGAGCACAATATGTATTGCGCTTCGTTCTGAAATACAGTATTGCAATATCGCCTGCTGCCACAGTATGGACTGCAGTTTTCTCTATCCCAACAATACGGTATTGAAGTGCTCAGAAAAGTAGTGCAATCGGACAATATATTTTTTCAGATCTCTGGATCTGACAAGTAAAATGCATACTTAGTCTTCTACTGAAACACCATAACGCCGACGACAGGAAGCATAATACGTTGTTAGCTTGGTATTTTTGTCTTTTCTCTATGGATGTTATATAAATCTTATCAAAATATTAGTGGTTGCCAACTCTAGCAGCAGCAGCAACAACATTTTCTTATTTCTCGAAAATAAAGGCCCCTCATTGGTCGATTAATTTTCACGTTCCTGCGTCAAAATCGAAGCAGAACGGTGCGACTTTTTTTCGTCAGCAGCATCTCCATCTGTTATTGTTGCTCGCGCACATCGCAAGGTTTTGGTGGTCCCGACGTCCCGTATGGTCCGACAGCACAGCTGCGTTGGTGTTTGCAGGTTTAAGCTGTGGCTGTGGTTCGTCAGCGACAGGGGCAGCGGGTCACACGCTCAAATTATGTGTGAAGGAGGGAATGGGCTGCTTAGTACTTCATCTGCACGACGGAACTCAAGTGGGCTGAACGTCCTGCCTGATGGCGTCGCTGTGTAAGTGGAAATGGCGTAAGAAGATCGTAAAGGAGACTTCCGATGCTGCAGCGCTGGTTCAGTGTTCCAATTCACCTAAATCTGAGAACCGGATACACCAGGCATGCTTTTTGGACTTGCTTTCCAAGAATGATGAAACTGAAAGTGTTTGCGCGGTCGTCTGCGGCAAGCGCTGCTTCAATGCCGTGTTAAAAGCTTTGAAAGCAGCTGACAATCCTGTCTCGACATCCAAGAAGCGGGTTGCGTGGCACAACGACGGCCCGACTCCAAGTATAAGCTCTGTTAGCTGCCTCATCGATTGGATGACTACTAGTAGCAAGTACTCTCGCTATCGAGGTGGAGACGCTCAAAGTGGTGAAACAAAGAGCACCATTGCGGTTCATCTCGTCGTGCGGTGTGACGACGTATCGGACTGCGAAGGATATCCAATCCAAGATCTCGAGTCTTGAGCAGTCGTTCAAGACGGCTACCGACTGGCTAGGAGCAACGGGGCAAGGTGTTCAGGATGAAAAGTGTCTCCGTGATGCGATTCTATCTCGATGCCCGTACTACTATGACTGGTACGGCACCATGAACGACCGTGACAGCACGACGCCTTTGAGGCTCAATATGGACGCCATCGATGTGAGTGAGGAAAGTAGCACTGACGACAATTCCGATGATGGCTCTGCATCTAATGAAGGTGATGTCAGCTCGATTGAGGGGGTCACTACCGAGCCCACTGGAATTAACAGCGATGCGGTAGTACCTCGTGAAAGTGAGGGTTCGCCAAGTTTGGTGGCAGCTGCAAACCCCAATCAAAATGACGGCAAGAACAGTGGTAACAATGGTACACGGCGTAAGAGTACGCCGAGTTCAATTGGTTCTGTCAGCTCGAAATTCAAGGACACCGCGGATGAGCTGAGCTCGAGCTACCCGTTGGCAGAATTGAAAAAACAACAACTTGCCCAAAAAAAGAGATTTTCAATTGCAGACGCTGAAGCTAAAGCGTCAAAAGGTAGACGCCAGTGCTATCGAGACTCAAGCCC